ATTTTTTAAGAAGAGTGACTCCTCAATTGAAATGGGTATTTCAAATTTGATATTGAAGTTGTTATATAATATTGTTTCTGCCTTTGGTAAGGCTTTTTCTTTATAGAATTTAGTTATTTTAGAGTAATTTGGAGAATTGCCTCATATGCAATCAAAGTATATAATAACTTGGACTAGAAAGTCAATATTAATTAGTTTTGCTGTAAGGAACTAAATAGCTTGTTGTTTATTCATTTTGTCAATATTGTGGTTTTGAGCAGCAATATTATAATATATGGATAAGTATTGATAAAAGTAGAAGCCTTGTTATTTAGAATTGGTTTTGACAGCATTAGAAGAGCAAGTATATTCTTCTGCCTTTGTTGCTAGTTCATCAAGGATTAAAGTAGAAATTGATTTTGTAAATGTAGCTTTGTGTTTGACTTTAATATAGAATATAGATGCATCAAGAAAAAGGTTATTCTATGTTTCAGTATCTTCTTTGAAATAGGTTTTGTAAGATGTTTCAAATATATCTTTAATAAGTATAGATAAGTTATGTGTAGATTGTAGTATAAAGATTGTCTTTGAATTAGTATTAGCTTCTTTTGTTTTTCCTTTTGTATCAGTTAGTTCAAGATAGGAACATTTAGAGTCTGTACAAGTGAGTACATGGTAGTTGGCATATCTAAAAGTTTCATGATATCATACTTGAAGATTAGTTGGTTTTATAAATTCAATATTAGTTGATAAAAGGTTTTTCAGATACGAAATAAAGTGTTGTCTAAATTCATATTTAAGGAGTTAAACACTTTGGTCTTGTTAATTGTATTGAAGATTTGTCAACTATATAATGAAAAGGCTTTTTCAAACCATTCATTAAAATAACTAAATGAGTTTTTAAGTAATAGTATATTATATTTTTCAAGGAAAAGAGATTTTGGAAGATTGAAATTCAGTTTGATATTGAATCAGGTATCTATTTTGATGAAAAGGTATTATTGTTCTTTGTCAAAATTAGTAACCTCAGATGTTATTTTAAACCTTTTAGATCTGAGTTTAATTTCTTTAGCAAATTTTGTATAATTGATTGCTTGGTAATTATTAGAAAGATATAAATGTAAACAAGCAAGATTAAGACAAAATTGTAAACAATTTTCAGTTTTAATTAGTAGAATTGTTGCAAAAGAAACAAATATTTCAGGATAGTTGAGTTTGGTGAAGAAAATTGTTATAAATGTATGAATAAGTTTTTTAAGACTTTCTTTTAAAATATTGAAAAGAATTGTTACAGCTTTATCTGTTTCTGAGTTGTGTTTTTGGATTAGGTCAATAAGAAATTTTGGTATAGTACTAGCCATTTGTCTAATCAACAATAGAAACTAGCTTTAAGTGCATATTTAGTTTCTGTGACTTCTTTAAGAACTTTACCAGAATAAAAATTATATAGATATTCTTTAAGGAAATTAAAAAGTTGACATGATATCTCAGTTTCTAATTTTATATAGTTTTGCATTTCATCAGTGACTGGGAAATTTGCTAGCCAATCAAATGATAGATCAAGTTTAGGTCTTGCTGCTTGACTGTAAAATTGTTCATTTGATTTTTGGTGTTATTGTTCATTATTAATTGTTTCATTTATAATAGGAATAAGAGATGTAAGTTTGGAAATAAGAGAATTCTTGATGATAGATTGTTTTTGATATGGGTTTTGTTGTTTTTGTTGATTTTATTGTTTTTGTTTTAATAATCCTAAGAATTTTTTGAAAATTAAAATTTTCTCTTCTTTAGTTAATGTAGTAAGTTTGATTACAAGAACAATTTGGATTTGTATAGAAGTAAGTGCTTTAGTTTGAGTAATAGATTTGAGTTTGAGTTTATGAATACATTTAGAATGTACTGGAAATCCTTTAATGATAAGAATAGATTTGTTAAGAAGTAAGTGTGTATTATTTTCTAAAAAAACATATAAGATGTTTTTATTTTGACAAATAATATAAGTATATGCATGATAAGAATGTGGGGAGTTTGTATTGAATTAGATGAAGTTCCTTGTTGTGTTGTAGAATAATTTAAAAAGAATGATAATAGAAGAACTGTAGTTGTTTTTTTAATTATTAATTGAGAGATAGTTTCTTTGAGTTGTTTAACTTATTTAGGTGTAATATCAATATCTATATATATGGATTTTTGAAAAGAAGGAGAAGGAGTTGCTTGTCTAGGTGGAATGTTAAGATTATTAGAAGTAAAGAGAGTATGGAATTTTTGGCAATAACAGCAGACAATGATAGGTTGAGTAGGGGTTTTAAAATAGTGAAAAGATTTAGCAATATTGCATTCAGATAGATTAAATATAAATGACATCATTTTAAGTTGTATAGGTTGTACTTTTTGGATTATTGTACTATAACGATCATTGTATTTATTATGGAAATAGTTAAGATCAAAATGATCTGGCTCTTGGGTGGTCAAAGTAGGCATTCTGTTTGATAAAAAAGAAAAAATACTACAGGTATACTTAAGAATAGAAGTTAATATTATTTAGTAAAATATTTTGTTATTAATTATTAAATTTTTTAATATATAAAATTTATAGTAGTAAGGGTTGATTTGACAGGGATATGATGTAATACTGCAACTACTGTGGCTGCTGCAGCTTTGTATAACCTTGAGAATAATTTTGTATGACCTATGTAGTACAAGGTATAGTTGGTATGACAAGTGTGACTTAATGTAACAATTTAGTTACATATCCCAAAAAAGCCTTGTAATAGTGTACAAAGTCAAATTAGTAAAAGAAAAAAAAACCAATAAAAAATTGTATACTATTTTAAGTAATATTAATTAGTTTCAATAAAAATAATTGTAGTAATGATTTAATATTACATAAAAATTGTGTAAGAGAAAAAAAGATTAGAATAAATGAAAAAGAATTTTTTAAGAAGTTTACAAGAGAGTTAAAACTATTTTTTAAGATATCTTTGTTAATATTAGGTCTTTGGGTTTGTTTAGACCTTGTTTTGATTAGAGAAATGAGCTCTACAACTTTCTTAGGACTATAGAGTAGATTGTGAAGCTAGTTGTTGAAAAATAATTAAAGAAAGAGTTTAAAAGCCTAAAGGCCATTATTGCAGTATTAAACTGTGAGTTTGAGAACTATCTCTTTAAAACTTTTAGAATATATGTAAAATTAGTAACTGAATAAGTTTATTTAAGACGCCAAAGTTAGTTATTTTATTAAAATAATCAGTTATTAATGATTTTATTACTGATGAATTTTTAGTTATTTTTGTATAAAAATAGTCTATCTTATTATAATAATTTGGTTTTATAATATATAACTAGTTTAGTATTTGAGTGCCATCAAGTGATACTAGATATTTTATATAATAAAATTTTTAGGTTTTCATTTGATATTGTTTATTTACTACAAATTCTAAACTTAGCATTTTCTTGAAAAGTATCCTTTAAATAGCATTAAAATACTATTTAATTATAGATTCTAATATTTGAATAATATTTTAGTATTAATTACATAATTTGAATAATATTATTTGATCAGCTTACATTAGTAATACTCTTTTTAGTATACATTTTTTATAATATATAATATTCACTTTTTCACATAGTAACTCTAAGGCATTAACTATTTTGAAATATATTAATATATATAATAAATTACTATATAGCATGAACTAAATAATTTTTTTTTATAACACTCATAATTTTCAAAGGTCTAGAATATATTGTACCCAGAGTACTAAAGATAGATAAATTAAAAATAATAGTATATAGAATATAAAGTATTCAGTTGGAAATATATAATAAAATTCTAAAAACTAAATATTAATTAATTGTATTTAGAAATATACAGTAAAATACCTGAATACTAAAGATAATTAATTTCACTTAAAAAATATAATGTCACTCGATGTATAGTATTGTAATACTTATATAGTGCAATTTATATACTTTTATACTAATTATAGTATCTTTCTGACTATAATATTCATATATATTACTTAAATTGTAAAGTATTCTAAGTATTTTAGTTCATACTATACAGTAGATTTACATTTTGTATTTTTAAATTTTTTTATACTAGCAGTATAGTTATAATTTAAAATTTTGTATTAAATAAACCTTATTTTCTAAAATGAATATTTTTCTTTATATTTGTTCAAGTTTTTTTGATTATTTTAAAGAAACAAAAAAAATAAAAGCCTTTTTATATAAGTAATAAAAAGTTATACTAAAATTAAACCTTTTTTTACAACTAATTGCAGTATGTAAGCAGTGTATTTAATTTATTTAATACTTTGTTTTTTTATTAATTTAATAGCTTTAACTATATTACAAATATTATTAGTAGTAATTACTTTTACTTTATTTAATATATTTCAAATATTCATAATTTCAAATAAATTATTATAAATATTTTCTGCTTTATAAGTGTAAAGGCAAAGAGTAATAGTTAGTAAAATTTTATTTAGTTTAAAATTTGTATCAATTTAATAGCAAATTATACAAGATATGCTTCATAACTTTTACTAATTCAAAGACTGCATGTAAGTAAAGCTTTTGTTTTAAGAGATCAAAATAAAAATTATAAGCATTATATATTATTAATTTAATAGCTTTATAGATAGGCAATTTATAATAAGAATTCAAGATAGTAATAAATCTTTAAATTTTTGTAATTCTACAATATATAATAGTTGTGCATTATCAATAATCTATTTAGCTAAAGTTTGATCTTAATTTTGTTTGTGTTTAAAATTATTATCTACAGTTTTAAATATAATATCTATTTATGACTGTTTTTTAAATTCCAAATTGCTATTTCTAGTAATACTATATATACTAGAAAGATAATTTTACATGTTTCATGTTGATCTATCTGTATTATATATTATATTATATATTTATTTTTAATGATTTTAAATAACTTCTAAAAAACATTATCAAACACAATTTTCAGTTAATATTTGCTCTAAAAGGTGAAAATATTTTCAGATTTTCTATTCAATTTGACAACACTTTTTTTTAAATAAAGGTCTATATCCATCTGAAATAGAATTTGAAATTTGGAACAAATTTTTACTAACATTTGATATAGTATTTTCATTATTAGATAAATCTTCAGTACTTTTATTAGAGAATTCAGACTATAAAGATTGATGATAATTTTTATTTAATTCTCAGAATCATTTTTGCTTTCTAGATTTTGTGTTTTTTTTGCTTTTTATTCAAAGTCATATATAAATAGTGGAGTTAAACTAGTTTTGGTTAGTTTTTTTAGTTTCTTTGTATATATATTATTGGGATTAATATATATACTGTATTAATAATTTAATTAAATAATTGTTAAATTTTTACTAAATCATTCAGAATGCAACTAGAATCTAAAAATGCTGAAATACAAATCTTGCTAATAATAATTACTACTAAAGTATCCAAAATATATGCTAAATGCTACTCTAATAGTAAAAGGCTATAATTAAGGTGTAGTAGATTTAGTTCAAATAATTAAGGCCAATTTAAAGCTCTCAATTATGTTATAAGTCTTTTAATATAAAATTATCTCAATTTTATTAATATATAATTTTACTTATCAAGAGAAATTAGTAGAGTAAAGAATATTGAACTAAATAAGAATTATAAGTTATTCTTTATTGAAGATAAGCTTGATCGATTTATATTTCTTATTAAATATCAAATAAATTTCTAAAATTTTACAAATTTACTAAATCTATTATTTTTGTCAAATTGACTAAATCTAAAAAAATTTAATTTTAAAAATTTTTGGTAATTACTTTTGGTATAGTTCTAAGTAATAATTCTAATATTTACAATATATATAATATATTTATATTATGCTTTATTATATTAATATTTTGTTGTATATTTACTTATCTCTATTGTTTAAATAATAATTAACTAAACTTTAATTAACTAAACTTTAATTTTACTATATATACTTGCTAAATAAAATTATATAAACATCCAGATAATCATTCTTAGTTATTCAGATATATTATCTAAAATCAAAAATTAATATCTTGATATTTGTGATATTTACAGATATTTAATATTTAACCAAACAGATTTCAACACTAATTTCGATTAACCATTTTGATTAAACAATAATATTTTTGCAATATTACAGAATAATTTATAAAAATTAGCCAATTATAATAAAAGCCTACTATGCTCATATAAACAGATACTTTAAAAAATTATTGTTTTTAAAAAAAGTATTTATTCTACTAAAGAATGATTCTCTATCACATGTTTAGTTTTTTTTAAGATTAGCTTTAGAAATAGAATTTATTGTAAGCAAATAGATTTAAGTGCAATAAATAGAACTTTCAAATTTTATTTTAATCTAATTTTATTTGTTATAAAGATAATAAAAAAATAGTTATAGACATTGTTTTCATTGCAATAATAAACTTACTTAACTGCTAAACTACTTTTTTACTAATTAAAATTGAACTTTTAACCTATTAAATTAGGCACTTGAGATCATTCAAAGTAATGTTAAAAATTATTGCAAGCTTCTATAAGCATCAACTAGAATAGGTTTATAACTATAGTATTTTATATTCTCTTCTGATTGTTTGATAATCAATACTATGCAAGAAATAAATATTATTAAAATTTTCTTATTTTAATATTTGTAATTTACTATTTGGATAAGTATACTGCTTAAAGTATATAAAATATATATATTTTAAGCATGGTTTTGTGGTTGTATTATTATTATAGGATCAGTAAGCCACATTAACTGTAAATTAAAATTGGATCAGATATTAGTTTTGAACTATTAAGAGTAGTTACCAACTACTAGGAAAAGTTATTAACTATTTAGAAAAAGTAAAAACCAACAGAAATAGTTAGTAACTGACATAAAAAGCTCCAAACTAAGTAACAAAAAACCATATAAGCAATGCTTTTCTAGTAGAATTGTTGGTGCAAGTATAATTTTAATAAAGCATCAAATATATTCTTTTAGATTATTTGATGCATAGTGCATCTAATAATGCATTGTAAGTAGTTGTTAGAGTTATTTTTTTTTAAAATATGTTTTATTTAATTTGTAACTTAATAATAATACTATAAAATAAACAAACAAGATATCTTCTTGATGTGTTATATGGTTACTAGCTGTTCTTAGAATTATTCTTATTTAATTATTCTCTTTATAATCATTTCTTTATTGCTTATTCTTCTATTACAACTATATAATATCTGGATTGTTTATCCAAGCTAGCTTACTATTCTTTGGTATTAGGTCATAGATTAATAAGAGATGTTGAGTAAGGAATTCTATAAAACCAAAAAGTAAAACTAGTATAATATGCTTTACAAAAATATATATTAATAGTTGGTTATTAAGAGACTTTAAAATCATAATGTTTTTCAGAAGCTGCATCACAATTAGTTGAATTAACATCTGCAGAAAATATATGTAGAGATTGAGGTTTCTTTAACTATTTCTACACCATGTTAATCTTTGTATCTGTCATAGTAGTAGTTAATGTTATAGAAGTCTAAATTTTTAGAGACTAAGATGAGCATAGTTTAAAGTTTAAAAAATGAAAACAGAATAGACAACAAAAATTTTAAATGTAAAGAGATCTGAAAGATATTGTTAGGCTTAGAAGATTGTAACTTTGTCACTTCACAATTTAAAATAGCATATAATGTATGATAAATAATTTTTTCAAAAGAGGGTATTAGATTTAACAAGTAGATAATTAAGGTTTTTGGTTACTTTGGGCCAATAAATACAAGTAGAGTAAGTTATATGAACAAGAACTTAACAAATAATGAAGTTTATAGATTTTATAGAATTTGTATTAAGTTTAGTGTTAGTATTTTTTTATAGACAATATAATGTATTGGAACTTGTATTTTAATAAAGCCAAAAAAGTATACTGCTTCTAAGAGCCATTTTAGCTTTTATTTAGAATATTGAATTCATTACTTACAAATGCAACTTTATACTTATTATCTATTAAACTTTTTTTTTGCTTTTGCTAAGGCTGTTAGTTATTAGCAGCTACTGCTTTTATTGTAAATTCAATTATAGTTATATAATTTGTATAAGCCTATCTCTATACTATACTAACAGATAGTGCACAAGCTTCTGTACACCTAATTAAATATTGTCTAACCTAACTATAACCTTCTTGTCTATACATCTGTCAAGCCATTACATATTCAGAGTATATCATCTGACTGTAAAGCTTCAGGAAGCCCTCCTGCTAACTAACTACTTATATTTAATTTTTGCTAACAGGGCTTACCCTTGTAAAGTTTATCCAGACCCCAATACTGACTTTACAGCATATTTTTTAGTACTTTGCTATACTCTGCTTTAGACCTTAGACTCTTAATTTAGATAGCCCAAAAGAACTATATTCTGTCTCTAGTACTCTAAGTATCTGTTTTCCAAGATCCTTTTTCTTTAGTATAAGACTTTTAGTAGCCTGGTTAATAATACTTCTTACCTGAGGTTTTTGTCTACCTGATGCCTTTCACATTGGTATTCATTTCTTAGATCTTGTCTTTACAGTAGCACTGTTGAAGATCTGTGCTATCTTTCTACTCAAGTCTTCCTAAGTGGGCTCTGGCTTTTCAGTTCTATAGATTTACATAGCTATAAGGACTTATCTTAGGTTTGCACCACCTGATGCCAGTTTGTATTTCTTTGTGTAACTCCAATATTGTACAGATGCCTTATAACCTGCCAGTCATGCTGGTGTGATTATAGTTACAGATATCTTATCTTAACTGATCAACAGAATGTTATTACTGTAATACTGCCTATGTATTACATAGAAGATTATTAAAATTTTTGTCATCAGTAGGTTTTGAACTCACTATCTACCACTTAGAGGGTTGACAACTTATCCACTTTACTAAGTCACCAACTTTTTTCTATTAAAACTAATTAAACTTATTTATAATAATTTATATGATATCTTTAAAGATGTGTAATTTGTTTTTACATCTTCACTTTATTTCTTATTTATCTTTTTGAATCTGAAATACCTTTCTGATTATAGATATAACTTATTGCACTTATTGCATTTCATGTATTTTTTATATAATCAATTACAATATTTTAGTATTACAATATAGAATATAACAAATAAGCAAATATAACAAATAGTAAAATGTAACAAATAAAATATATAATAAATAAGAAGATATGACAAATAAGAGAATATGACAAATAAGTAACATAGGATGTACAGCCTAAATGGTTACAATGATTAATGTTGAACAAATTTTTATATTAGTTAATTAAACCAAAAATAGAAAAAGTTAAAATTTTTATTAAATTAATTAATAATATAACTTTTAGTAAAGATCTTAGATGCTAGATATTCTAGAATATAAACTTTCTTCCTAAAAAAAAAAAAATTTTGTAAAAAAAATAGAAGTTTTGTAAAAGAGTTTTAAATTTTTTTATATAAAATCTTTAATATTAATTCAATATTAATATATATTATATTAAAATAAAGCTCTAAATGAGGTTTATTATTTTGTTTTATAAACAACAAATATTAACTTAATAAAATATTAAAATGTTTTAAAAAAAATAGCTTGCAGATTAAAAGATATATTTTATTATAAAAAGATCTAAAAGATATATAATTAAACTATCTATATATAAAATTTTGGTGTAACTAATTTTCTTAAATTGCTAGAAAAGATTTTTTAGTAAATTATTTAGTTTTTGTTAGTTTATTATTAGAGAGTTTTAGTACAAATAATCATTAAAAAAGTTAATAATTTGCATTCTTTAATATCATAATTTATATAACATTAAAAAATCTTTATTAATAATCTATAACTATTATTGTTCACAAAAAGATTACATAATTAAAAAACCAAAAAATACTATAAATCTAGTAAATTTTATAATAAACTATTTATAACTTATTGTTTTTGTAAGAGTTATATAAAAATTACTATTAATTAAGACTTATTAATATCTAATATAAATATATAGCATAAATTGCATTGAATTTGACAAAATGTTTCAATTTCAACTGAAATAAAACTTTTTATAATAGATAATATTGATTTACTTTTATATAAAATTTATAGCTAACTTATTAAACATAATTTAAATATTAATATTTGGCAAAAGCAAATATATTTATAGCAAAATGAACTTAATAAATACTAATTTAAGTTTAATAATAATCTTTTTGTTTTAGTTTAAAAATAACTAAATGAAAAATCCTACAAAATTATTTTTTAAAAGAAACTCCAAAAGCTTTAGAATTTTTAAAAACATAATATAGGATTTAAAACTTGAAATTTATAAAATTGAGGTCAATGTTATATATAAGTAAATTATTTTTTATTTTTATTTTTTTTTTGCTTTTGCTAAAACTAATGTTATCAGTAGTTACTGCCTTTATTTGTGTTTTAATTAATGCATTACATTAATTTGTATAAGGTAGGTGTGCAACTAACTATATATAACTTTTTATTACCTATTTAAATAGTCTATTCAAGAGTTTTACACTAGCTGTCATGTTTTTAATCTGCTAGAAGATTACTTATTTAAACACTCTAATCCTTATACTAGCATTCAGATGAGTAGCACCTGGTTTCTGTACAACTAAATGCTATCTAACCCAACATTTGACCACCTCTTTTGTATATCAGTCTGGCTGTTACTTATTCTAAAACATGTTATCTAACTGTAAGACCCAGAATGCTCTCTTGTTAACTATTTATCCAATCTATAAAACATTAACAAAACTAACTCTTATAGAGTTCATCTGAACTTAGCATTACTTTATAGCATATCTTTAGTACTTTAGTATACCTCTGCTTTGTCCTCAGACTCTTAATTTAGATAGCTTAATAGAACTGTGTCCTGTTCTTAATATATTAAGCCAATTTGATATCTTTTTTCTTTATTCAGTTCTGATGGCCTGGTTTGTAGTACTATTTATCTTGAGGTTCTCACCTATCTGGCTTCTTCACATTGATATTTGTTTTCTAGGTTTAGTCTTTACAGTAGTATTATTAAAGATCTGTATTAACTCTTTACTCAGGTCTTTTCAAATAGGCTTTAGTTTTCTCTGTTATATAGATTTATATGGTCATAAAAACTTATCTTGAGTTTGCATTACCTAATATTAGTTTGAATACTTCTGTATAACTAAGGTTATACCGATGCCTCATGACCTGCTAGTTATGCTGATATAACTATAGTTACAGGTATCTTATTAACAAAAAAGCTGTTATTGTAATATATAAGTATTACATAGATGTTTTATTTAAATTTTTGTATCAATAGGTTTTGAACTCACAATCTACTATTTGAAAAGTTAACAACTTATCCACTTTAGTAAATTATTACATCTTTTTATAAATAAATTTTAATCTAACTATTTAATATACAGTCAGACCTCTCTAAATGCAATGTGATAGAACTATATGTAAAAATTTAGCAAAACATGCATTTAGAGAGATATTGCATTTAGAGAGGTAAAAATTTATAGGTGTAATATAAGTTGGGCTCAAGAGAAGACATGCATTTAGGAAGGTTTTTCATAGATGTGCATTTAGAGGGGTAGCATTTAGGAGAGTCTAACTGTATTATATAAAATATAAGTAGAAAAGTAACTAATTAATATAATCTAATTATTTATTTATTTAAATTTAGATAATATAAATAACTTAAGATTTGAATTATATATATTGCATACTAAGTTTGATGAATCAGGTTTTTTATTAGCATATTTGTTTTTAAAGAATAATAATAATTATAGTAATAATATTCAAACTAGCATTATTATAGATTTTTTATTATAATCAAAAATATGTAAATTTAACTAGAATTTTTTATAAACAATAAAGGTTGTTTTTAGATTTTGGCTACTAAACTTGTTTAGAAAAGTATAAAGGTTTAGTTGTGCTTTTAACATATAAAAAAGCAATAATAACTAGATTGGCAAATAATAAAAAGTCTTAAAATATTAATTATAATAGTATAATAATATAGCAACATTTTTTCTTTATTAATTTATTATTTTAGCCAATTTTAAATAACAATAAAGTTTTATTTTATCTAAAAAAGTTATGATCAACAGTATGAAATATTATAAAAAGCATTTATATTTATATCTATTTATTCCAACTACTAACAGTAAATTTGTTTTATTAACTGAAATTTAAACAATAGAAGAACAAGAGATTTATAATTTTTGTTATCAAAAATCTTTAACATAGCTTTAGGTATATATATTGAATAACTAATATTATTTCAAATGTTGGAATTTGTGATTTCAAAATAAATATAAAAATAATCTTTCAATTTTTAAAACTAATATGTTTGTCAAAACTTATTTTTTTTTTTTTTTTTTTTTTTAAGGTGAGGTTTTGCTCATATCTTTATTGTTTTGTTAAAGAAGCCTCCAGGGGCTTCTCTGGATATAAATTACAAACTTATTCTAATTACAAATATATTACAAGAAT